TGTCCACTTGGAGGCATGCATGCAGCCACCTCCAACAACAAGGATTGGGCCCCTCATGGCTGCCCTGCGGTCTGCCCCGGGCATGCCAAGGTGAGATGTGCGTCGGGATTGGCACTCCAGCCAAAAACCTTGCCAACCCCTGTTATAAGCTGTATCTTCACTATCATTTAGTTTGAGTATCACATCCATAAATATAGTTTTATACAGTGGAATTTTTAACAGTATACTAGCATATGAATGCTAAATCATTATTAGGAAACTAGCCTCTCTAACTTTGGTTCAGTTACACTGGATATCAGAAAGGTGAATGTTTAGAACTTTACCACTAAACTGATGTGCTAAAACTCTACAGCATCTTTCCAGATGGCTAGCTCCATTTCCCACTGAAGTCAGCTCCTCTGAAGAAGTCCCTGTTAGAACAGAAGCAATTCGCTTAAGCAGATGTTGAAATAATTGAGGAAGGCCTTATCATAGAATCCCACATATCTTCTGAGGTTATGTTCAATAATCACTGGATTGTATGACCTCTTCTAAAATTCTGAATAACTGATTTAAGCGCTGATCTGTTGATCCATCGAGAGAAAATTTGGGGTTCAAAGTTCTGTGTTTGAGTTGACAATAAACAGGACATATAAATAAGATGATATACGAAATAGCACCAAACAGCACCTTAAGGGAGAGCAATATCAGTGCAGCTTCTTTACTACTCCTTGCTGATCAGTTAATAGTTGTTTCAGTTGCAAAAGAGGATATGAGCGGTAAAGAAACACTAGCTACCCTTGTTACAAGAAGCTTCTAAATTTACTAGCATGAAGAGAGAGGTGCTGTGAATTGCAAGTAAAAAAAAGGAATAAATAAATTCAGAATAAAAGTAACTACACTGTCACATTAGAAAAGCTGATTTTGCAAGTTACCAAACTTGTTAAAAGCTGTAAGTAGGGCACTAGATGAAATTGCACAGCCTGAGTGTACTGATGGTTGGCCATCTGTTCCTACAGGCTTTCAAATCATCATTTTTTACTGAGAGCATGTGAGCTGTGTTGTTGCTGTTGTTTTAGTAAGTAAATTAGATGAACCTCTAAGGATTTTAGGAGATTTAAGTGGGAATGGAGGCTCAAAGGAAGAGATGAATTTACAAATTAACAAAAATAAGTCAGTTCAAGGGATTTAATGTCTGAGTAAGATGAGTGAGAAAAAGAGGGTATAAAAAGAGAAGTCGTCGCCATGGTCACTGTGTTGTCATTACTATTTAAGGGTTTAGAGACAACTCTTGCTAATATTGTATAACCCTCTAGCACCTTTTCTTTGAATATCTCATGCACTGTACAAATATTCAGGAACTTCACAACACCCCTTTAAGGTAAGTAACATCTTCAATGGCTTGAGAAAGAAGAAAACAAAGGTTAAGTGTCATCCCCATGTCCTACACAACACTTCAGGAAAGATAAGAATAGAACCCCACTCTCTTGTCTGAGTTTCCTACCATACATATTACAAAAACTGAATTGGGAATAGTGAGTGCTTTTGCTGATTAGACCCCAAATGTCCAATCAGATCTGTGTATGTTTCAGAGCCCCATTGTCTTCAGTGGGACTCTGCACAGGGCATGGGGATTTCCCCAGACTATATGATGGGGGCTGCTGTATGCAACTTTTTCTTGCAGTGATCTAACTGCTCACTGCCAAGGGGACCCCAACAAAGCGCCCGGATTTAATGCATGTCAAAGAAGCACTCTTAATCCTTAGGGTGCTATTAGATTTTTCACTTGGGATATGAAAAAGAAGAGATTTTAGCCCTGCAAGATTAAACAATCAGGGTTTAAAGGATTTAATCTGTTGGCGTTTCTGACCGGAATCTCTCATAAGTCTCCAGTCTGAATGTAATTGGATGCAACATCAGAGATCAGTCAGCCTTTAAAAAAAAAAAGAAAAGAAAAAAAAGAAAAACGTGCTACCAAGTAGAAGTGATCTTTCCTTTGAAATTTGTTGTGGCATGAGGCTATAAAGCTGGCCCCCGGTCTGTATTTCTTTAGTGTCTAGCTGGATTCTTTTGCTGAGGGGGGACATTTCTCAGTACATGAATTCAGGCTATTGTTTCAGGCACACGTCTGCCTTAAGAAATAGTGCAAAACAGGCCGTTACTTATTCAGATGCAGAAGCTTCTTCCATCACACAAGACAGCCCATTCAAGTCACATGCCAGAGGTCTCAGCAGAATGGGCTGCAGCTGCTTCAAATCTGCTGTCTAACATTAGAAGCAGTTGGACAAACCTGACTACAGTAAGCCTCCCAGGCTCAGAGGAAGACAGGGAAAAGAACTGGGATCCAAGCACTATGTTCTCTGAGGATCTGTGGCTCGAAAATGAGAAAAACTGTGCTGTCGTTCACAAGACTAAGCGAGGAAGAAAACGCCAAGAGCTCCTGGCAGTGGCACTGGGGGTTAAGATGGGAGTAAAGGGGGCACTCTTATGGCAACCTCTGAAACTCTTTGCCTATTCACAGATCACCTCTTTGGTAAGAAGAGCAGCCTTAACTCAAAATGACAACCATTTCAACTATGAAAAAGCACACAATTTTAAGGTAAGGACAGTTTTGGTTCTGATTTAAAAGTTCTGTGATGTTTTTCCATATTTATTTTTTCACTTGGTTTATGTATCTCTTTATATTGTGGCTGAGAAAAGTATCGAAAAAACATTATTCTTCATATTTTAAGATCTTTGGGTTGTACTCTGAAAACATGTTCACTTGGCTGTTTCATACAAATAACTGCCTTGCTCTCAAATCTGACCTGATCCAGCTAAATTACAGATTTATGGTTTAGCTCTTTTGTCTCGTATCCATTTTATTTAAATGGCACTTCAAGCTATTCATCTTAATCTTAAAATATGTCAGACTTTCAACATCTAGATTTTAACAATACAGCATTTGTACTATTCCCATATGCAAGGGATAAGAAAACCCCAGTACTTTCTAAGAATAAAAAAATATGCAAAGGTGCTATTGTCTTACATCTTTTTGTTCACACGCTGTATGCCAAAGGAACGTTCTTGGAGTCCCACAGAGCTATTGGATATGGACTTGTGCTTGCATGTCACAGTAAAATGAATAGCTATACAGACTCAAGGATGCTTAAATGGATCAGCCTGCTGCTGGCTTATAGGTACAAAATCAGATTTTTTTTTCAAGTACAGCATCTGGAATGCTGTGCGCACTGGGGAAGTGACTCAGCTTTGGAAACTAAGCTTCCAGTCATCTTGCTCTAACAGCTTTTGCCAGAGGGACTGTGTTAGTTCCAGAGTGTGCCAGTCTCCAGTTATCATGGTTAATGATGTCAAAAGGTGGTGTGATAGTAATCAGGAGTGTATATACAGTGTATAAGAGGAATGAAAAGCCAATAAACAAGAAGAGAGAAGAATGCGTTTATAGTTTCTGAAAACCACTATTTTCTTAATGCTCCCTGAGTATGATAATCCAGGCCAACATCAGAATAATTCATCTTGTTATCAGAAACAGTGTTTTATCCTACTGATCTCTCACCTCTCAATGAAAGAGAAATCAACATTAATTAAAATTATTTAACAAGCATGCTTTCCTTTCTGTTCATCTATTATGCTTTTCTCTTACACTCCACTGCAGCGTTTGTGCTGTGGTTGAGATTTATCAATAATTTAATGTTAATAAGGAAAGCCTTACGTGAAGCATTTTTACATCCCTACTCACATTCCCTCTCCTTGAACCCATACCCACATCAACATCAATATTTATCTCACTGCTAAACACTGAAAAAATAGGATAAATACTCTTGATTTAAGCATATTTATTCTTTCTGGCTTTGCCCTCATTATCATTTGAGTATGAAAACTGTTTCAGTTTAGCAAGAAAATATTTTCTCATGACTGGGACTTTTTTCCACTTTGACCCATACATTCTTTCCTTTCCCCTTCAAAATTCCCCTTGTTTTGGATTTGATTTATAACTGGAACTGTTCCCAGCAAGTTTGCATTTGCACAATCTAGCTGTTGTACACCCTTGATTGCTTTCTGTTTTAAACAGAGTCATAGTTTAGCTGGCAAATCATATGATGTTTTAAAATATGTAAGTGCCTAGCTTTAAACAATTTTTGGAAAGTTTTTTTTTTATTTTAGTCTAATGAATAAAATATGAATTTTAAGAAACATTTTAAGACTATAATGTAAACCAGAAAGTTAGGTCACTCTTAAGGATTATGTTTGCTTGAAAAAACAAATGTATTCACCATGCAAAAATCTTCAGTTTTCCACAGAAGCATACTGAAATGTCCAATGTGGTTAAATTAAAAAAAAAAACTTTAACAATATGCTGAGGGCAGAACATTTAGATTCAACAGTCAACTACAAGAGATTCAACATGTAATGCCTTTAAATTATTGATATATTCATAACAACAGTGAGATAAGAAAGAGAGAGAAAAATGTTGGAAAATTACTGGAGCTAATTCCTAGTTGTCACTGATAGAACCCATGGCTCCTAGGGTAGTATGAGACTGTATTGTAGTATTTTATATGTAAAATATAATTAACTAATTCATAAGCATACAAAGAGACTGGTTTTATTATTTTTCTGGACCCTTAAATATAGCGTAGCATACATTTCAGTGTATATGGACAGAAAGCCCATGATGTACTGTCCATCAGAATGTTTGGCATGTGCTGTTGTCAGTGAACATGCACTAACAAATCTTCACCTTTCAACCTCTTGGGATGCAGTCTTAAATATATATATTTTGGGTAACTGATCAGAAGCATTTTTTAAGTTCTAGCAGAAAGGAAAAAGTAGAGGTAAGAAACAGACTCAAAGTGCAAAATTCAGACCCAAATCAAACTACCTCTGCACCCTGTTTAAAAGCTATGTTTGTGTTTAGAATACAAGTTTGAAAAATTACAAGGTTCCAAACCTCCTTTTTTGATATAGCCCCTTCT